AAAAAACCGGACCGGTTAGCTCGCTACCGGGTGGGGGTGGCAATTCTAGTTAGGTCCAGTTTTAGTGTACTAATAAAAAAAACACATCGTCTGGAGAAAAAAATCGACTAAAAAATCGGTCGGTTTGGCCTTGAACAGGCCAATTTTTTACCAAACAGGTCGGTTTTGTAATAACCGGTCCGGTTTGGCAATATAACAAGCGATATAACATAATAACGGTGCTATAGCAAATAACGGTCGTTATTTGTAAGAGTGCCAGTTATTTCAGAAGAACCCGTGATCCGTCATTTTTTGCAGCTTTTTTATGCTTTTTTTTGCCTTTTTTTTGTTTTTTTGGCTCAATTATGGTACTATACCTTCAAATCTTCTATAAATCCATCAATATTGAATCAAAAACTCCAAGGTTAGATCGATTTTGGCGAATTTTTTGTGCGTTTTTTTTGTGTTCTTCATTTTTTTGTGAAAAATCCGTCATTCCTTTGATTTTGGCCTAGTTTTTCAATTTTTTTCGATAAAAAGTTGAGGATTTTGATGATCACAGAGATACATATATTTGACGACACCTGATTTCATTGAAATGGAGAGATTTGTGGCTCGATTTTGAGATTGAAGCAGACAGGGTAAGCCCGAATTTTTTAAATTTTTTTTCTTAATTTTTTAGTTTTTTTAGGAATTTTCAGACAATATTTGACTTGTATTATTTATTGCAATAAATAAAAGAACGATTTTTTAACAACAAAAACAAATTTTGAAGCTCGATATTAGGAATTTAGTGCTTTTTGGAGCTTGATTTTAGGAATTTAGGTTTTTTTGGAGCTCGATTTTAGGAATTTAGGGTTTTTTTTTATTTTTAATGTTATAATATATATATATATATATTTATAAAAATATGATTTTTGTGATGAATATGAGAATATATATACACAATATTTGTGTGAGATTATTTATTGCATAAAATAATTGAACGAATTTTAGAACGAAAATAAAAATTTGGAGGTCAATTATGGGGATTTTAGGGATTTTAGGGTTTATTGAATGAAAAATAAAATTGATATTTTATTTGTGAGGATTGTTTTTAATGTTATAATATATATATATATATATAACTATGTTTTTTGTGATGAATATGATAAT